TCCATCGTCTACTAATGGATGGATGGAGCTGAGGATTGGTAGCTTCTTCATCCACGTCTTCACCACCTGTACTAAGCTCTTGTGTAGATTTGATCTAAAATGGTTAGAAGTTGAAATCACATGCTTAAAATCGACATCAACTGAAAGCTGCTTAATTGCTGCGAAGGGAACACTCTGTTCGAACAGCACTGAACACTTTGGCCCACATTCTTAAAGGTATTTTGCTATTGTTCCGCCCGCTGTTGCAAAGTGTAGAACTATAGTCACAAAGGGATATAGGATCATAAATCCAACATTTTAGGCCTCTCAGACATTCAAAAAAATCACCACTCAGTTGCTACCTAAGCCTAAGTCCCCCTCAGCACCTCATTTCTACCAGTTTTAAATGCGTGCTCTGCCTGATTTGGAGCAAGGGCTTAAACCCAGGTTTCCCATCTGACTGGAGAATGCCCTAACCATCAGGCTATTCAGTCTCTCTCTCGCGTCCTCTCGCCCCACGAATATTTATTTAATACCAAATGGAACAGGTTCAACAGCAGAGACCGAAAGAGACACCGCAGCATACCCAATAGCCGGTGGTATGGGCGCTCACTTGGGAGATGGGAGACCTTGATTCAAATCCCCGCTCCAAATCAGGCAGGGGTTTGAAAACAGGTCTCCCACCTCCCAGGCAAGTGCCAGAACCAGAGCCCTGCAAATCCGCGGGTATCCGCTTTACATCCGTGAACCATTTCTGCGGATAGCAGTGCGGATCCGGATACAAATTTTGTATCTGCGCAAAGCTCTGATGGTAAGATCCGGGCGGGCAGCTGTGAGAAACCGCCCACCCCCCGCACAGGGCAGGTGGAGCGTCCACCGCAGCTCCCCACAGCTGAGAATCTCTCCTGCCGGTTGGTCAGATCCTTAAGGCCCAGTTCAATGGGAGTGCCTTTGTGGATCTGGGGCCTAACCCCTGCCCTTTCCTCTGCATTTCACTCCTGGCTGGCTTCGGTGGCTCCCTGCTCAGGTTGTTGGCTTCTGAGAATCAGGCATCTAACTCTCCCCATACAATGCTTGGGGGGGCTGGATGCATAACTCAGGGCTGTGAATTCCACTGGGTGGCAGGGCTCTGGAGAATTACGCGTTGAAACACCTAAGTCCGCTTTGTGAATCTACCCCAAGTGACTTAGATGGCTAATTCACACTCTCAAAAGTGACAAAACCTTAAGACCCAGATCCTAACTCCTATTGAAATCAATGACTTACAATGATTTAGGCTGCTAAGTCACTTTTGAAAATGGGACTTAGCCATCTGAGGGTACGTCTTCACTACCTGCCAGATCGGCGGGCAGTGATCGATCGATTTATTGCGTCTAGTCTAGACGCGATAAATCGACCCCCGAGCGCTCTCTCTGCGCTGCGAGAAGCGCAGGCGGGGTCAACGGGGGAGCAGCAGCAGTCGACTCACCGCGGTGAAGACACCACGGTAAGTCGATCTAAGTATGTCGACTTCAGCTACGTTATTCATGTAGCTGAAGTTGCGTAACTTAGATCGATCCCACCCCTAGTGTAGACCAGGGCTAAGTCACTTAAGCCCAGATTTTTTAAGGTAGTTAGGTGCTTAACTCCCAGTGGAAGTTAGACACCCTAACTACCCTTAAAATCTGGGCCTTAGGCCTTGCAACGCTGAATGGAACACTGCCTAAATACCTTTAAAAATCTAGGTCTTTATCTGGAATTCCATGTCTTACAAAGATACTTGCAAATGTTCACATTTCAGGGTGCAACGAGCAATGATCAGTAACAAACTTCACTTGTTCTTTGCCACATGAGAATCTGTAATGTCCGTTGGTATAGCTGGGCCCGAGTCAAGCCATTCAGATCCAGATTCGAACCTCCGCAAAACTTCAAAACCCTGCACTGGAATACCCTGGTTTGGCCCATCTCTGACCATCTGATAGTCTCTGTAGTATCAGACAGGAAATCATGGGTCTGTAGATTGTATCTCAAGTAGAACAAATAGCATGTTCACATGTGAGAAGCCTCTGGGTTTATTTCTTTTACGTACGATTCCCAAATAGCCTCCCTGTAGCATTCACGGGTAAAGTCACTGGAGTATCATAGTTTTAGGTCCATGAACAATCATGCCATTCACTGCTGTACATTTATATCTGTAACCTCCATAGTCCCTTGCTGACTGCTGTGCATTACCTTTGGCCATCCTTTCATAATTGTTTCATTCGGCGTTTTCCCTCTTTGTGGCCTTTCACTTGCTGTGAGAAGGGATCACCAAGCTTTTATCTCCAACTCTTGCTTCCTCGGCTTCTTTCTCTAATGCAGCAAGTATGGATAGTGCAGCAGCGGGCAACACTTCATTACTATGCACAGCTTTCTCTCACATCTGTAGCTTTATCATCATACTTTGCATCCTCATAGAACAGGTAATATGGTATCAGAGATCTGGGTCTGTTTCAGCCTCTGCTCGCCGGTCAAAATTTCTCTTAGCACTTAAGCAGTATCCCTAACAGCTCTGTTTGTATTTGTGCATCTAGTTTCTGCACCTCTGTGACCTGAATGCATAAAGTGTAAGCTGTCAACTTTCTTCCCACTACTGCAAAATGACTTCCCCTAAATCAAATTGTGAGGCACCTATTAAGATTTTAATAGGCCTTCCACTTATGTAGAACTTTTAACACCGGCTCCTGTACAAGCATCTCTTTCAGTTCCATCCAGGCTTTTCTGATAACTGCAGGACCACCTAATTTTCATTTTCTAGCAGCTCGCTCAAAGCTGATGTTTTTGTAGAAGATAAAGTATCATCATTTTAAGCCAGTCCTAAGCTGGTAGCTAAACATCATACAGGGAGTTCAGAAAACTGCTGGCGTTCTTGGCAGGAAGAGGGAGACAGTTTGCAGCCCATTTATGGTTCCCTGGTGGCAGTCAAGTGTTGAGTCAAGACTGAAGCTTTTCTTGCAGCTGGTGACTCAGCATTTTCAAATGTAGCTGGTTTAACACAGTGGTTCTTAACCAGACCTGTATCCCTGGGGTACGCAGAGGTCTTTCAGGGGGTACGTCAACTGATCTAGATCAGTGTTTCTCAACCTGTGGGCTGAAACCCCCATGGGGGTCGTGGGACGGATTTAAGGGGGTTGCAAGTGCAGAGCTGGCATTAGGGGATGGCAAGCAGGGCAGTTGCCTGGGGCCACCTGAACTTAAGTTACACGCTTCAGCCTTGGGCAGCAGGGTTCGGGCTTCAGCCCCGTGCGGCGGGTCTCATTCAGGGGTACAGTCGCCTGGAAAGGTTGAGAACCACTGGTTTAAGACACAGCTCAAAAAAAATCCTTAGAGTATGTCTTCACTGCACAGTTAGCTTGGGTCATGAGCAGCCAGGCGTGAGTGACCACCCTATAAATCCACACCCACATTATAGTGTCCTTATTGGTGCTTCGCTCCCCCACATGTATTGCTAGGACTTCTAGAAGTCCATCCCATGGTTTTTTTTGTGCTGCAGTAAGATCAGCCACTCTGATTTTTTCCTAGCGAACTGTGGGAGAACTGGTCAGTCCTTCAGGGCACACAGTGGAATTATAGGAAGGCATTGGAAGACTATCAGCGCTCGAGTGATTTAGCCTGCATCTTCATTGCAAATGGGCGGGTGACCAGTCCAAGTGAAAGTAGTACCCAGGCTCCAACCTGCAGCTGTAGCCAGGCCAGCTCGCTGGGACCGAAAGCACAATTAACTTGTGTGAGAGGGTTGTGTGGGAGATGAGATTAGGGGCAACACCCGGTAAGAGCTAACTCTGCAGCCAAGACAATCCTCACAAAGTTGCAGATCAGCTGACTTCAGAGGAAAGAGTTGGATTTACTTGCTCCACAAGGACTTTGGTCTGAAGTTCATTCCAGCAGAGCTTTGGTCTGAAGTGAAGCAGGTACTTTTCCAGGCCTTTTCTATGATATTGCGGGTCCATACAATTCAATGGGGCTTTAAAGAAACAATGAACAATTCCTAACAGAAAAATGTTAGGTCAAACAAGACAGAGAGATTCTCATACAACTGAATACAGCTGCATCTCTCCTGAGCTTAATCATCAGGTTTCTTTATCAACAATGTAAAGAGGTACAACGTACAAAAAGGAAAAGGTTTCCTCCCCACTACCAGCAAAACAGGGAACAAACTCCAGGTGTGTTAACTCTGGAAGGCTGTTCTGCTATGATCTGCTTTTCTTAGAGCCCTCCACACCACAGTCACTGGCCATAGCCCACTAAGGCAGAGTAGCAGTGCTCTTTCACCAAGGAAGAGAAACTCTTGCCCTGTGTGAAGGTCATACGGACGGACATTCATCACACCCACAGAACTTCAAGGCTGGGAGGTTCATGAGCAAAAGCGCCCCAGGAATGTATTTTGGCAGAGCTTGCAGCCCTCACGAAAAGGGACTTTGCCCTCACTTTTCTCCTTTCTCACACAGGGAACACGACAGCAATATGGGACAAGTGAGGAATTCTGGCTGGGGAGCGTGACAGCTCTGCTGGTGACTCACCGATGTCACTTCACCTCCCTTTTTTATTTTTAAAATGTCCCTCTCTCTCAAACCTGTGGGAGGCCTACTTCATTCGTGTGTGTGAAGCACCGAGATCCTTAAATGCATTGAAGTGCACAGTATTATGAAATCAGGAGGGAGATGTAAGGGAAGTATTACATTCCCCCAGCATGCACACGCACAAGAGGGAAAGTCGCTGAACTAAAACAAAAGTGTGAGCTTTCCCCTGTTGAGGAGCTGTGCTCGCGTGGTTCCTACAGGAAAAGCATCTCAAAGTGCCTAGGCAGTCCCTGCTCTTTAGGATCCAACCACAAACAAGAAAAGAGGAATCCTATGGCAGGCTGAAGCGGTCCCGTGCCCGGGCTCAGAAGGACACGCTGGAGCAGGTCCCGCAGCCCGACTCAGAAGAACAGGCTAGAGCAGGCCACCTTGTTGCAGCAGGGGCACGTATAGATCTTGTCCCCTATGTGCGTTCTCTGGTGCTGGACGAGCGTGGAGCTCCGTGTGAAGCTCTTACCGCACTTAGAGCATTTGTAGGGCTTCTCGCCCGTGTGTGTTCTCTGGTGGCTGAGGAGGGTGGAGTTGAGGCTGAAGCATTTGCCACAGTCAGGGCACTGATAGGGCCGCTCCCCCGTGTGGCTCCGCTGATGTCGGGTCAGGGTGTAGCTGCGGCTGAAGCGCTCCCAGCACTGGGTACACTGGTAGGGCTTCTCACCCGTGTGGGTTCTCTGGTGGGTCAGGAGATGCGAGTTCTGGTGGAAGCGCTTCCCGCATATAGTGCACTGGTAGGGCTTTTCGCCTGTGTGGATCCTCTGGTGCGTGATGAGGTGGGAGCTCTGGCTGAAGCTCTTCCCACACTCAGTGCATTTGTAGGGCTTCTCGCCCGTGTGGGTTCTCTGGTGCTCAATGAGGGTTGAGCTGCGGCTGAAGCTCTTCCCGCACTCATTACAAATGGTCGGCTTCTCTCGCCGGTGAGTTCTCTGGTGTCTAATGAGATGTGATTTCCGGCCGAAGACTTTCCCACACTCCAGACACGCATTGGGCACCTCCCCTTTGTGGAGTCTCTGCTGCTTCCCCAAAGCTCTCTCATGGGGAGCAGACTTACCCCGTCTCTTCCCTGCAGGCTTTTGCAGCTGCTTTTCTGAGCTCTGCTGACTCTGGGAAACATTCGATTTGGATCTTCTTGAGAACGTCCCATGAGGCTCCACTTTCTCAGGCCCTTCTGGCTGAGGACGGTCATCCTCTTCGCTCTCACTTGCAATCTCATCATCTGCTAGGATAAAAAGAGAGAGTCACTGCCTGAGCTCAGGAAAAATGAACCCAGGGAAAGGGGAAAGGCAAATAAATAAAACAATGCTGATAAATGTAGAAACTGGGAGCCAGGACGCTGGGCCCTTCCCAAGGGAGATAAGCGGGGAAGAGCTGTTCTTCAGCTTCCTGTCTGAAAACCCAGAGAAGAGAGATGAAGGAAGAGGAGGGGCTCCTAACAGAAACCAGCGAGGTTGGTGGAATGCAGTGGTCTACCCTGAGGTCACGACAGCTGCTGGTTACAGTAATGAACTAGTTGAACTAGCATATTGATCATACTGGTTCCTTAGATTCATAGCTATTAAGGTCACAAGAGACCATTAGATCACCTCCTGCATAACACAGGTCACAGAACCTCACCCAGCAATTTCTGCATCAAGCCCATACAATGAGCTATATCATCTCTTTTGAAAAGATATCCAATCTTGATTTAAAGACTTCAAGTGATACAGAACCCAGCAATTCCCTAGGTAAACTCTCCCACTGGTTAATTACTCTTACTGTTAAAATAACAGCACCATATTTCTAGTTGGAATTTGTTTAGTTTCAGCTTCCAGCCATTGGATCTTGTTATTCCTTTTGATGCTAGATTAAACTAAGTATGTTAACTATCAGAAACTTTCTGCTCATGTACATTCTTATAGACTGTGATTGATTAACTTCCTTCTTGACATTCTCTTCGATAAACTAAATAGAATGAGCTTCTTTAGCCTGTCACCATAAGGCAGATTTTCTAGACCTCGGCTCATTCGTGTAGCCCTATAATGAACCTTTTCTAATTTTTCAACGTTCATTTTGAAGTGTGGACACCACAACTGGACACGGTATCCAGAAATGGTCTCACTGATGCCATATACATAGGCAACAGAACCTTCCTACTCCTAACTGATACTCCCCTACTTACGAATACAAGGATTGTGTTCACCCTCTTAGCTACGACATTGTACTAGGAGCTCTTGTTCAATTGTTTATCTATCATTATTTCTAAGTCACTGCTTTCCAGGATACAGTCCCCTATTCTATAAGTGTGACCGCAATTCTTTGATCCTCAGTGTGTGACCTTGCAGTTGGCTGTGTTATTTACCACTCCAACAATGTGTGTCACCAGCAAGGATTTTATATTTTCTTCTGTTAGTATATAGGTCCGTTTGTTAGCCTGGGATAGAATTTTGGGTTTGACTTTTTGATACTCTTATACTAAAATGTGTAAACAAGGGACAAAGGCACTGTGAGGTTGCTTCTGCCTAGTCAGATGGATTTGTTAGTAAAATGGGAACAGATAAGAGCAGTTAAAGTGTTACTCAAGCGCACACTTTAAGATGGCCTCAACCCCTATCTCAAGGCAAAGTCAAGCAACCAGTCGTGAGGGGCAAAGTGGCAGGAGTCACAGATGGGCCACATGGCATTGTAGGCAGTCTCCTCATACCATCCCCACCATAAACTTATCAAGCTCAGTCTTGAAGCCAGTTAAGTTTTTTAGTCCCACTACTCCCCTTGGAAGCTGTTCCAGAACTTCTCTCCTCTGATGGTAAGAGGCCTTCATCTAATTTCAAGCCTAACCTTGCTGATGGCCCGTTTAGCCATTTGTTCTTGTGTCAACACTGGCACTTAATGTAAATAACTCCTCTCCCTCCTTGGTATTTATCCCTCGGATGGATTTAGAACAAACGATTTCTCTCCTGCCATCCATGTCCACCCTCTGACAAACAGAGGCTAGGGACACCATTCCTTAGCCATCCTGGCTAATAGCCATTAATGGACTTAACCTCCATGAATTTATCTAGTTCTCTTTTAAACCCTGTTATAGTCCTAGCCTTCATATTTATAGAGAGCAATCATATCTCCTCCTAGCCTTTGTTTGGTTAGGCTAAACAAGCCAAGTTCTTTGAGTCTCCTCTCATAAGGTAGGTTTTCCACTTCTCTGATCATCCTAGTAGCTTCTCTCTGTACCTGTTCCAGTTTGAATTCATCTTTCTTAAATATGGGAGACCAGAATTGCACACAGCCTTCCAGATGAGGTCTCACCAATGCCTTGTATAATGGTGCTAACACTTCCCTATCTCTACTGGAAATACTTTGCCTGATGCCTCCTAGGAGTGCATTAGCCTTTTTCACGGCCACATCACATTGGCGGCTCATAGTTATCCTGTGATCAACCAAAACACCCACATCTTTCTCCTCTGTTGCTTCCAACTGATAAGTCTCCAGTTTATAGCAAAAATTCTTGTTGTTAGTCCCTAAGTGCATGACCTTGTCATATTAAATTTAATTCCATTTCTATTACTCAAGTTTTCAAGGTCATCCAGATCTTCCTGTATGACATTCCAGTCCTCCTCTGTATTGGCAATGCCTCCCAACTTCGTGTCATTTGCAAATATTATTAGCACACACCCACTTTTTGTGACAAGCTCATTAATGAAAATGTTAGGTAAGATTGGTCCCAAGACTGATCCCTGAGGAACTCCACTAGTAACCTCCCTCCAGTCTGACAGTTCACCTTTCAGTATGAACCATTGTACTCTTTTCTTTAACTAGTTCCTTATCCATCTTTCAATTGTCATATTAATCCCTATCTTCTCCAATTTAATTAATAACGTCCCCTGTGGAACTATATCAAATGTCTTACTGAAATCTAGGTAGATTAGATCTACTGTATTTCCTTTGTCTACAAATTCAGTTATCTTCTCAAAGAAAGAGGTTGGTCTGGAATTATTTACCTTTTATAAAACCATGTTGTATTTTAGCCCAATTACTGTTTACCTTTGTCCTTAACTAATTTCTCTTTCAAAATGTATTCCAAGACATACATTATAGAAGTTTAAGTATATTATGACAATACAATGGTCTTTATAAACCAAATCTGTAATGGCATCAAAAAACGATAAAACTTATTTGACAAGACCTATTGTTAAGGCTGTGAAGGGTTCGGTCACAGAGACCCCCTTGGGACTGTCACCTGATGTGCTGAAACTACCTCTGTGCCTGTTTTCTTTGCCAGCTTGGGACTCCAGAACCCTGTCTTCTTGAGCCAGACATGCCAGCCTGCTGCAACACAGACCCAGGAGCTGGTCCACACCCCCAAAGTTCCAGAATTAATTGAAAACAGCTCAGCAAGTACTCCTGTCTCCAGCACCCAGACCCCAATGGGATCCAAATCCCAAATAAATCTTTTCTACTCTGTATAAAGCTTAAACAGGGTAAACTCATAAATTGTCCGTCCTCTATAACACTGATAGAGAGATATGCACAGCTGTTTGCTCCCCCAGGTATTAATCACTTACTCTGGGTTAATTAATAAACAAAAGTGATTTTATTAAGTAGGATTTAAGTGGTTTCAAGTAATAACAGACAGAACAAAGTTAGTTACCAAGCAAAATAAAACAAAATAGGCAAGTCTAAGCCTAATGCATTAAGAAACGGATTACAGGTAAATCTCACCCTCAGAGATGTTCCAATAAACTTCTTTCACAGACTAGACTCCTTCCTAATCTAGGCCTAATCCTTTCCCCTGGTACAGTCCTTGTTAGTTCCAGCTCGGGTGGTAACAAGGGGATTTGTCATGACTGGCAGCCCCCTTTGGTCTGTTCTACCCCCTTTTATAGCTTTGGCACAAGGCGGGAATCTTTTGTCTCTCTGGGTCCCCACTCCTCCTTCTAAATGGAAAAGCACGAGGTTTAAAATGGCTTCCAGTACCAGGTGACATGGTCACATGTCCAGTGAGACCCCAAGCCTTCACTCTTCCCGGCCTGACTCACAGGAACGCTTGCAAGTAAACAGAGCCATTTATAACCATTGTCCTAGTCAATGGGAGTCATCAAGATTCTAAACCATCATTAATGGCCCACACTTCGCATAATTATAATAGGACTTCAGAGTTATATTTCATATTTCTAGTTTTAGATACAAGAATGATACATACAAATAGGATGATCACACTCAGTAGATTAGAAGATTTGTAATGATACCTTACAAGAGACCTTTTGCATAAAGCATATTCCAGTTACATCATATTCACACTTATAAACATATTTTTATAAAGCATATGGAGTGCAACGTCACACCCTCCTCCTGAACTTACTGCCGGAGTCTTGGACACTGTCCATGGCGGAGGCAGTACATGTAAAATCCCTGTTTGTCTCTGGTTACACACCCTTCCAGTACCTTTAAACCCTAGGATGTCATTCATAGGTGTTCTCGCAAAGTTCTGGGTGCCTGGTCCCTGGGTGCCTAAAAACACGTTGGGGTGCAGTATTGCTAATAGAATGCAGATAGCATTCTGGAGTGCAACGTCACAAAGGCTACATTTTAGTCACGGGTATTTTTAGTAAAAGTCATGGATAGGTCACGGGCAGTAAACAAAAATTCACGGCCCGTGACCTGTCTATGACTTTTACCATATACCCCTAAATAAAACTTGAGCCAGGGGACTGCAGGTGCCCAGGGGGACAGGACGGGAGCGCTGCGGGTGCCGGTGGCCCGGGACCCATGCTGGTGCTATGGGGTTTGGGGGTTGGCAAGCTCCCTATCCAGCATGTCCCTGTAGCTTGGGGCTCTGTGCGCTGCTCCCACCACAAGCGTCAGCTCCACAGCTCCCATTGGCCAGGAACCACAGCCAATAGGAGCGGTGCCTGCGGGCACGGGTAGCGCGTGGAGCCCCCCTGGCTGCTCCGCCTAGGAGCTGCAGGAACATGGTGGTGGAAGCCAGGGAGTGCCGCCCCCTCCCCGTAAGCG